AGCTGGAGGGTTACAGAGATGTGTACATCCTCTCCAAACCCTGGAGCAGAACCAATCCCCTTACCCAAAAGATGGCCAAAATACTCTGCTCCTTACCATACTTCCTGAGCTGGGCACCTTTCTACTCAGCTACTCAGGCATATCCCTTTGGCTTCAGATTGAAATTAAACACACACTCACAGAGGATTAGTCTGCGCATTTTTGCAGGGGTAAAATTTCAAAAATTCGTTTAAAACTTTAGCTACAAGTGATACTGGTTCAGAGGTGAACTAAATCATTAATGGCTATTTAAAGATTTTCGGGAGACAGAGTTTGAGAGTTAGAGTTAGCCTCTGTCAGTACTAGTGTTACGAACATGGGAACTTTATACTACTCGACCTCTACCTGACTAATTATCTTCATTTGTAAAACACAGGCGTTGACAAGACCCTTTCTAAGTCCCCTGCATGTGGGTAATGAGCGATGTCGTGAAGGTGAAATTGTGTCAATAGGTTATGTATCTTGGTCTGGGGATGATGAAAAGTGACTGTAGATACTATAAAGCCACAAGGGCATGGCCTGTATTTGGGAGTTCCCTGTGGGATTTGTGCATAGAGGGAGGAATGTGTATTTCCCTCTCCTTTCTTCTTCTCAGTACAGCCCCTTGCTCCAGCAGAGCACTTTTGCAAGGAGCCACCACTGCACACAGCCTGCAGACGTGGGGTAGTGCGACTGGTTTACATTAGAGGGAGGCAGTGGTTTTTCACGCTGACCCTGAGCTCTCAAGGGCTTTGTTTCGCAGTTCCGCCCCATGCCTGTCCTTTGTGCAGACTGAGCACATAGGAAAAGGGCAGGCTGGCATCTGCAGAGGTGAACGGGGCTGGGGACGGGGAGGGGGGGTGGTGGCTTTCAAAGACAAATACTGAGAATAAATCACATTCTAGGTTTTGAAGCCTTGAGAAAATTCTGCTGCGTAGAGAAGGGAGGGTATAAAAAATGAATCTGCCTGATCAGTTAACTGTGTTTCTAGCATGCTATGACTGTTGGTGGTTATATTTGAGGGGACAAATTCTGATCTCTTGACATATCAGCACTGACACAAGATTGTTAACAGGCTCAGCCTCATCTGCGGCTTTTGAAGATAGCTTTCAATTGGGTTTGGTCCTCCATGAGGGTAGGTGTACTTACTTCCATGCTTGCTAGGCAGTGACCTGTGGCTCCAGCCTGATTTTAAGGTGGCGATTTTATGTGGGTGGCCTCTTTGCTAGGGGCTGCTCTTTTTTCTTCTTAGAGCAGGCTTTCCTGTTATGCTCGGGGCTGAATTATCCAGAACCGTCCCCCACACTACTACCACCAAACTTGTGCAACACAGCTTCCAGACACACTTCAGCATACCCTGAGCCTCAGCCCACAATCAGCCCTAGTCCCGTTTCTCTATTTTAGCCCCCCAGGGGCAGCAGGTAAGGTGTCTGTTGCTACCTACCTACACACAACCCGATCTAGGAGAGATGAGTTGTAGGCACAATTCCATTCTCGGGGTAAGCTGAGTTCCAGGACCTGGTGGTCTATGAGTCTAACCAGTTAATGGTTATGATTATGAGAGGTACAGATGAAACTGACTACGAGGCCAAGGATAACTGATTAATGTAATAAAAATGGGCAGCATATATTCTCTAGGCGCTACTGGGAATTTAGGATGAAGAAAAAAAAATCAACAAGCATATGCATTTTCATATCAGAGATGTGATAGTTTATAGGTGAATTCAGGATCGTCTTCCCTTCCTTGTGATTTGTGAAGCGATCCAGGAGCTAAAACTATTCTGTTTCCACAAAGACAAAGACCGACGGAAACTCCGCATTGCGGATATTCTGAGTTCTTGAGTTTGGACGGAAGCAGACAACTTACGAC